ACGTCTGCCGTCGTTGACTATTCCTTCCTCAACGACGGCAGACGCCACCGCCTTGTCAGCACCAAACACCATGCAGCCCCACACACGAATGAACCACGCAAGGATGTCGACGCCAGCACCTGCCACACCACTACGCATGTGCCATGCATGTCCAACCACTTCAGAATTATACGAATAGGAGAATCACATGCAATGTAGTTTTAGAACGACAGTGATGACAAGATTACTGTAGTCACCGTGAAATGAACGAGTCTTGGTATTACTCTTACATCATTTAACGCATGTGTGTATTGCAAACACCTTCACAACATATTGATGATGCAAACGTTGCCGCCGTCGAGGAAGCGCTAGTTGGCGGCCATTGATCCCAGCAGGCGCTTCCTCCTGGGTCGTATCGTTTGCATCATCAGTACTCGTTGGGTGAATGCCCGGACCTCGATTGCTGATGGTGGGCATGGTGCGGCCCTGGAGGAAGTGCTGGCTGCCGGCCAGGAACTCCAGCAGGTGCTTCATCCAGGACCGCACCAAGCGCACCATCGGCACTCATGGTGCATGTCCTTCCTTGAAAGGTGTCGACTGCTTCAATGTCGACTCGTGCTGGCACTTGGCACTGCAGCAGGTCATGACCGATCTCGTCGTAAACACTTGTTTTTGATAAAAATACACATTTCTGTGAAATCGGGTATACAAATAGTAAGATAAAAATTTGCCCAAACACAATGGTCTCCACCTTTACGGAACAGAGGAAGTACATCATTTAACTCATGTGTGTATTGCAAGCACCTTCACAACGCAATTACCTATAGTGTACAGTATGCATCATCTCAAGGTTGGATCCTTACGACCACAGCGATCGACTTTGACTACATTACATACAACACAAAGACCGCCTTGTGGGCTATCGCCAAGTAGCCTCTTGTCGGCACCGTCGAGCTCACGTCGTCACGCCGCCACTGTGTAGTCTCTTGCCTCCTATCCTGGCGATCTTCATACACTATAAGTTAGTCATGATGTCGTGAATGGTGGCTCTAACCTCGTAGAATGATGGTTGTGTGCTTTCACATGTAGATGAGCTACAAGCACAATCGTTGTGGAGCGCACAAAAGGCTGTGGGGGGTTATAAGAGATGTAGGGGTTGCAATCGATACAGCTGTAGCGATTTACATGCACTATGAGCAAGTCGCACAAAGTGGCTAAAACCTGTACTTTTAGGTGTGGATTCACCGCCATTCTGATTCAAATAGCTAGCTAGCACATACTTCTCTTCTACATGTACAGTACATGCATAACTACCAGTAGTCGTTGAGCCCGTCAACTGGTTATTCACACCAAATCGCATTGCACACTTGTAAACACGCAAGGGAACATCATAAACCATACGTTGTATTGCCATCTCAATGCGACTGCTGGCATGGTTGAGGACTCTGGTCGAACTCTCAGCCTTGGTTTACTCTGCAGTGGAGTTGTTCGCCATTGATGCGAGCGACAACGACGGGCAATTCATCAGTATATCATCTCCTCTCGTTATCACTATGCTAGTTGTCAGTTTAGGTACCTCCAAAGAACAGCAAACAGCCACGAAGAAGCAGCATGGCCTCCGCGCAAACTTCGCTGCAATTTTTGATTTCCAGGTATAATTGGTTTTGATTGGATACATATATTTATTTATAGCCAAACAAAGTGTTCCAATAACTTCATTATGAAATTTGCCGTCAAGAACCGACTGAAAATGGACTTGGACATGCTGGGAGTCATAGCCGCCCAATGACTTCCGTTGACGTCGCAAACGAGGAATATCCTTTCCGCACCGTACGATGTAATTACAAGTTCAAGATATCATGTATAAACAGCTCCAAATAAGACCCAGTCAGGATCAATTGGAAGGGCACACAACTATGGGAGCGTGTAGTGTAGGCTGACTGTCACAAAAGCGCTGCTGCGGGAGGCTAGTGGCGTGAAGTACACTATGCACGTTTACTTCGGGTCACGAGGCTCCCGCTGCAGCGTCTTATGGCGCTATCTCTTATCCACGCGCTCGTTGCAGGACCCCAGCCATTCATCGTGTTATTTAGGGTATTTTGAGGATTCCTCAAACGTGGCGTTGTGCGACAATTCTCCGGATAGGTACAGTACAGTACTGTAGTGTACCGATCAGTGGGCTTTTCAAAAAGTCACCCTAACCACTCTCACTACTTGACTTTTTCGACAGGCTTTTTGGCCAAAATATGCTGTCCTCATTCGACGAATAATCTTTTTTACTTTGTGACAAGCGACAGTAGTACTAGTAGTACTACTTTAAAATTGTGACAATCCACAGTAACATGCGGCGACTTTAACATAATGACAAATTGATGATAGCATGATGACAGCATGATTGCTGTATCACTGACGTTATATTTTTCCCAAGGGATCGATCCCAATTTGTCCGCAAGCTGGAAATGGATGGGTCAGATGTTTTCTATTTCCGTCCTAACTGTTCAGGAATTTTGGTGTGGATTAGGCATTTTTTGTGTGAATTCGGTGAATTGTGTGTTGTGCTCGGCGAAGTGTGTGTGGAATTCGGGATTTGTATTGTGTTATTGGGTCGTGTGTGTTTTTCGTTAAAATTTGTGTTTTTTTCGGTCGTTTCTCTGTGTATTTCGTTATTTAGTGTGTGACAAAAAAAGGTCCTCAAGCCGAGTGTACGATCTTGACTGAGTAAGCATGTTGCCAAGTTCCGACGAATCTGTACGCAAGTGTGCGACATGACCGAGCGCGACAAGGTGTCCTGGTTCCAATCAACCTATGAAATAGTGCCATACACGAAGGTTCTTTGAGGTGACAATCTCCATCACAATGCTTGGCTTTTTCTCTTTGCCCATATATGCTCCTACGAACAAAAAGAATTTATATCTTGTACGTAAATTGAGTAATACAAGTAATATACCATGCCATGCTGCAACTGGGCAATTTTTCCAGACCCAATGACTGCAGTCTAACGATCCGATCATCCCAGGGAATCCACGCAGGGTATTTTCTTCAAGCAGATGCTGCGTCTCCTCAGCTGTGGGTCGGCTTAACAACTCAACCGCGTAGAGTTCGTCTATAGCAGCGCAAAATAACTCGAGAGTCTTTAAAACTGTCAACTCGCCCATTCGAAAATTCTCGTCGATTGAGTCGGCTGCAGAGCCGTACGCAAGCATGCGCATTGCTACGGTACATTTTTGAAGTGTAGAAAATGCAAGCACACCTGTAGCGTCGCGACGCTGCTGGAAGAAGACCGAGTGTTGTTCCAGGTCACGGGAAATGCGCAGAAACAACCCGCGGCTCAAGCGATATCGTCTTCGGAATGCACCTATGAGAATTATGTGAGATTTGGATGAATTGACATGTGCCTGACCGTCGTCATACGTCGGGTTGTCGTCGAAGTAGTCGTTCCAAAGCTGCTCGTCTCCGACCCCGCGTTGGTGGTCATGTTGCCGCTGCGTCCTGGGCGAGATCCTCGGTGGGTCCGTACAGTCGGAAAGAAACACATCATGACTCTTCGTCGCTGCCGGAGTCCTCGGACGAGGAGGACGATGAGATCATACAGCTGTAGCTCGTCTCGGATAGGTCTGACTGGTGGGGGAAATGAGACATTTTGCTGTGACATCCATAAATCTGACAGATATCCGTGCATTATCCGTATAAAGCCAAGTTAAAAGTCCCAACGAGTGGAGATGCTCTTAGGACATCCATCATTGGCCACAACACTGAGCATGTTGACTAAGGATAGTGTAAAGGGAATGCCTAGACTGAAGGTAGGGTGGGCGGGGAAGTTTTGGGCATTGAAGTGGACTTCGTGTTTCGCATGCGACAGTCCCGCAAACTTCCGGTGGCAGTCGTGCAGACAACGCTGCGCCAACAAAGACGGTGGGTCGTGTTGTGCTTACTGCCCATAGGTCACACGCCTGTTACGCCGCCCCTTCGCCCTAGGCGAGGTGTTCAAGGATGTTAAGTTCTACTGCCATTCGTGTGCATGTATGAAAGGAAGGAGAATGTCGTTTCGTAACTGTGTTGGGACACGAGCGAATGAAAATTGTCACACACTGCATATGGATATTTGTGGTCCAGTAAAGCAAACTGGAATATATGGCGTTACGCACAATATAAGGTACGGATGTACGATTGTTGACGATCACTCGTCATACAACCCGGCTCAAGTACTACTGCTCTCGCTGTCGGACCGAGGGTCACGCCAATGCGGAATGCGGAATCTCACGACAGGACGGGGCCAGAGTTCCTAGCGGCGGCAGACCCGGGCAGGCAGTTATGGAAGTGGCCGCAGGGGAAATAACGACTGTCATACCTGTGGAAAACCCGGACACTTCAGTTTCGTTTGCCCCCTTAACAAAGGAAAGTTCAACCCAAAAGTAATCGCAGCCTTGACCGACATCTTCGATCCCGGGAATGTAACCGATGGAGGCGACGACGATTACGAGGAGGAACTACAATGAGGCGCCTGAGTCGACACCAAGCCGCCGGGAGTGGCGTGGCGTCGAAAGTGACTCCTAAAATGACTCCCGATACTGACAAGAATAAACTGACACTTACCACGACTGTGAGCAGCAGCCCTGGGACCAGCAAACCCATGGTTACGCCCACAACAACAACCTAGACCATGATGCCGCCAATACGCGGGACTTCGGCAGCTCCCAGAGCCCGTGAAGGGAGCTACGAAGACCTGGACGGGTGTGCTTCTGAAACAAGACTACAAGACCAGGAGAGCCTCATGACCAGAGGAGATCCAAACTCCGTGGACGACACGACTACTAAGAACGGACGAGACGAGTCCCCTACCAGCGATGACGACCAAGCTCTCGGTATCAGACGAATCGAATACCTGACCGATGTAGCCCATAATACTCCAGGGCTCCCGCTGGACGCGACCCTGCGGACAAGTTTAACACAACTGCCAAATGAAACTTACACCAACACCGAATCACCGCGCTTGCGAGCGATTGACCCAGCAAGCTTTAAAGACGCGGGAACGAAGTCTGGAGAGCAGCAGCGCCTCACCCCAGTCCCAAAGAAGATTGCCGAAGGGGCTGAGGAAGACGCTACGATCCCTTCGTCCCTTACTGACGCGAAGGCTTACACACGGCCTCCCGGTCTAAAGGCCGCCGTGCGCTCCCAGAAAACAGCTACCTCGCAGGCCACAACTACGGCAACTACCCCTGGGACTCAGATCTTCAAAAACCGGAGGTCAAAGAGGCTTAGACCTCCCCCCACGCCCCGATCGAGTTCGACAACGTCAGGGGTGCCTGCGAACCTGGCAACAACCCCTGGTTACGAAACTGGACCTGCTCCCGGGGTGCCTCCCGTCTTCACGCAAGCCCAAATCGAAGCAATCATGCGGGGCGACGTAACAGGCATCCCCGAGGCTCGGCACGTCGATATCGAAGAGCGTCTGTACCCTGTCTCACCAGCCGACCTGGAACGTCAGCTCGTCCGACCCAAACAGGAGAGGAAGGACGTGACTCAGGAAGATATCGTTAGGGTGGTTACCATGGCTCTTCACCGGTCCTTGACACGGGACGACGCGCATCTGTTCGAGTCACCTTTGGACATCGACGACCCAGATCGCTGGCTCAACTGGTTCTCCAGCACCCTGGAAACATGCGACAAGGCCCGGACGGCTAACCGCAACTTCGAAAACGCTCGAGTGGCGATCATTTCCGACACGCGGTGGTCACGTTTCCAGCGAAAAAACCTGGCCTCAAACGATCTACCTGGCTTTGGACCCTTCCCTGAGACCGTTTGCACGCCACCCGAGGGTGACGTCCTACCTATCGGAGGTACTGAAATTCCCCGTCTACCCGCTCGACACCTGGTCAAAGTACACGGAGCCGTACAGTACCACTTAACCGACGACCAGGCCTCTTTCGCCCTACCATTGCGGGACTTGGAGCTCACACGATTACCCTCGGCCATCTGGCGCATCCGTCGCAGGACGCTCTCATCCCGGCACCACTACCTGGACCTCGCCCTCGGGTGCCATCACATTGAAAGCGCCCTCGCCACCCCTGACGGCCGGCCGCAAACCCCGAAGTCTCTCTCTCCGGGTGTCGTTGACTCAAACAATCCCCACAATCCCGTCGAGGTCGAGCCCCTCGACGTCGAAACCTCCTATCTGGGGGCCCCGACGGTCGAATTGCCATTCCTGGACCTAAATGATGACGAGCTCCTCTCAATGGCAGCACCATTCCCTCGACCTGACCAAAGGGTGTGCCAAGTGGGTTCCAATCCGAACGCCCCGTTGGTTCAGGTCCGCATCCAAACGGCGGACACGCTCGCGTTAGTGGATACAGGAGCTTCCGTAACGGTAATTAGCGAGGCATTCTGGAACGAGCTCGGGGGTCCTCCACTCCAAAAACCGGCGTATGGGTTGGTCTCGGCATCCAACACGCCTATACGAACGCTGGGCCTCCGGTACTTCACCATCACTCTAGCGGAAAAACAAACGACCTTCCCGGTATGGGTACTGGTCGACTCCGTCAGCCAGTGTATTCTGGGGATTAACCTGTTGCGCAAACTCAAGGCCCTCGTCGACCTCTCGACCAACTGCGTTGGTTTTAAAGATTCTCCCATAACCCTACCTTTCCACAACGACGACGCCCAGGCGACACCAAGAATGGTAGCACATCTCAAACGTGGGGACCCGCGGGAACCACCGGCACAGAAGACTCAAGAACCCGCGCCTTTGGCTTCACTACACAACGTGCCGACCAACTGGCCCACTGTCCCCACTTCCACGGTCTATGTCAAAAGCAACTCCCGCAGGCTTATCTTATGCCGCATCTCGTCAAACCTCCCGGAACGGTGCCCTATACTGGTGGAGTCCACTGCTTCGTTGTCCCATTTACATATCGCCCGTTCGATCAACATCGTCCGGAAGGAAGGCTTCTGGGTCCAGGTGCGGAACCACTCGGACACGAAATTAGTAATTCGCCCCACAGACGCCATCGGAGTGGTTTCCCACCTCCCGGACGACTACATGGACCACACGGACGCTCCCGCATCGGACACGTCGACCACCCTGTCGCCCCGGAGCGCGACTTCTCTGTCGAGGGGAGAGAGGAAGGCACCACAGGAGGCGGAAACACTCTGCGCACTAACCACAGGAGCAAGTACGAAACCAGGCAAGGAAGAGATCCAAATTGACTGGAAGGATTCCAGCCTGAGCCTCGAACAGAAAGAACTCCTCCGAAAACTCCTCCTGCGCTTCGACTCTTCGTCTCGACATCAAAAGCCCCGGGAAGGACTGACCTGACCAAATGAAATGCCACATCAACACTGGGGATGCGAGCCCGATCAAACAAGCGCCATTCCGAGTGACCCAACGGGAGGGAGAGATCATGCAATCCTGAGCTTGGACTGATCCGACATTCCACAAGCCCGTGGGCCAGCCCAGTACTGATGATCAGGAAGCCGGACGGCTCCATCCGGTTCTGTATCGATTACCGACGGCTCAACGACGTCACGATCAAAGATTGTTACCCAATGCCTCGAGTAGATGATCTCTTGGATGTTCTGGGCAAATCCAAGTTCTTCACAACCATGGACGTGGCGTCGGGATACTGGAACGTGCGGTTGGCTGAAGAAAGCGTCGAGAAGACAGCCTTCACCTGCAAGTACGGGCTGTACGAATGGCTAGTCATGCCCTTCGGACTGTGCAATGCGGTGCCGCAGTTCGAAAGACTCATGGAAGGGGTTCTCCAGGAATACTTGTGGCGCATCTGCTTGGTCTACCTAGACGACATCATCATCTTCAGCGAGGACTTTGGCGAACATCTAGTGCGCATATCCCAAGTCCTGACGCGCCTCCAGGACGCCGGGTTCAAACTGAAAGCGTCCGAGTGCCAAGCCCTGGGGGCGGTATTGATGCAAGAACAACGAGGCCGACACCGGGTGATTGTGTATGCTAGCCAAGCCATGGACGCCTCTCAACAAAAATGGATCAAGAAAAAAGACGGAGTCTCGGAGATCGAATGTTATGGGTTGGTGTGGGCCACGACCAAGTTCAGACCCTACCTCGACCGGAGACACTTCATGGTCTACACGGATCACGCAGCCCTAGTTTGGTTATACAAGACCGGATCGAAGTCCGGAAACGGGAAGTTGGCCCGGTGGGCCGTGCACCTACAAAGCCTGGATTTCACAGTGGTCCATCGACCTGGAGCACAGATGGGGTGCGCTGATGGCCTGTCACGACTCCCCATAGAGTCCCAGGGCGAACCCACCCCGAGCGCATATCATTGGGATGCGGAGACCGAAGATTTCTCAACCGTGCCCCTGCCGGCAGGGGGTCCCCGAGTGTGCTCAATAGCCTCGGGAGTAGTGTGGTGCTGGTGTTGGAATTGGTAATGTTTTTGGTTCTTTACCTTCTTTTTCTAAAAAAAGTTAATCCAGACATCCTGAAGTTTATATTTTAATTTTACCTTCTTTTGGTGGGAGCGGTCACGAGGGGTCAAGCCCGCGCGTCGGAACAACCCCATGAACCCCCGGAAGCAAAAAACGATGAAAAAGAGTGAACCCCAACGACCCGAAAAAACTCCCCAGAACCCCTGACCGTTGCCCCGACGGCGAAACTCCCGTCTCTGAGAGTTTGGAGGATTCCCTAGTCAATAGGGGCCCGCTCCGGTTGCCGAAGCGGACAGGGAATCGCCCCTGAAACTACCTCCGTTCCACGACGACGACACGTACGCTCTGCCCGAACGAGTACTACGTAAGGAACAGGCATGGGATCCGTTCATCATTTCCATGAAGGTGTACCTCGAGGACAAGGCACTTCCCCTGGAAGAGTGGCTCATGAAGGTGGTAACCCGGACGTCCGAGCATTACGAAGTGAAGGACCAAGTACTCTATCGGAGGGTGATCCTGAAGTCCCCATTCAGAAACCCCAGGTTGAATCTAGTACTGGTAATTCCGATCTCGATGACGACCGATGTCCTGGCGCTCTGCCACGACTCCCCATTGTCAGGTCACTTCGGAAGAGAACGGGCCTTGGAGAGGGTACGACGAGTTGGGTACTGGCACCGATGGGGTGAGGACGTCCGGGAGTACTGCATCTGTTGTGTCCGATGTGGCGCCGCCAAGGGCACGAGACCCTGGAAGCAAGGGCGACTGCAGCGGATGCCCCGTGTACGGCTTCAGGGGCCCGTTCAGTTTCGTCGTGGTCGACGCGCTCGGCCCCTTACGACCACCACCGGAGGGAACAAGTTCATCTTGGTGTTCATGGATTACTTCACGCGTTGGGCAGAGTCTATCCCGGTCCCGGATCTCAAGACCACTACCTTCGTGACCGCGTTGATAGACGACGTGATATGTCGGCATGGGGTCCCGGACAAGTTGCTGTCGGATCGCGGGTCGAATTTTGTGTCGAAACTCGCCGAAACCCTCTACCAGACCCTGGGAATCGAGAAAGTGGCTAGTGCCCCCAAACATCCTCAGGGACAGGGACTGGTGGAACGATTTAACTCCACACTGGCCACAATGCTGAAGATGTACGTAAATGCGGCCCACACGGACTGGGACGTTTACCTGCCACGGCTACTATGGGCTTATCGTACCGCCCACCAGGAGACACTGGGAGATACTCCGTTCTTCTGCATGCACGGGTGGGATCCCGTGCAGCCCTTTTCGCGAACCAGGAGCCGCTTTGGAAGTCGGACGAACTCCCACAGTGACGCAGAAAACAGAGTGCGTGGTTCACAACCACTCGGAAGCTAGTGGAAGCCCAGTTACTCCAAGGGCAGAACCGAGATGCGATCTCTCGAGACAGTCAGCGGAAGGTTGACTTCCAACCCGCGGATTCCGTATGGGTCTACCAATACTTCCATAAGACGACAAATCCTGACGACATCAGAGTCCGAAAGTTCGCCTACCACTGGCACGGACCCTACCGAATCCACTGTCGGCAAGGGGAGAACACGTACCGAATTTACTTACCTACCCACCCCGACCGAGTCGTCCCTATCAAAGTAGACCGCCTCAAGGCCTTCCGAGGTTATTGGACTCGCCCGTTTAACAACGAGGTCCCGGAAGGATACCAAGAGACTGATGGCTCCTGGGAGGAGGCCTGCGACGTCCTTTTGGATGACGATCTGCTTCCATACTCGAGCTTCATCGACCGCCTTGAGTTCGCCGACGGAGACGTGGCGTACATGAACACCCCAACGCCCATTGTCAAGGTCCTGGACAAAAGGCGTACAACGCCCCGGGAGCCCGAAGACACGCGGATGGCGAAACCCATTGGACCCCACGATCTCGGCTTATCGATTACGAGTCGCTCATCTCGGAATATGAGAACCTGGTGTGCTCCCACCAAGGCCTTCCTACCCTACGTCGCAGTCCCAGACTAGCGGAACTCGACGTGGAGGCCATGGTTCGCGAGTGCTAGCTACTCCACCCGTCGGCTCGATCCTTTTTTTGGATTCCGGGAAGACTCAAAACACTGCATTTATACATGAAACACTGCATTATACAAGACCCGGACTATTCTCGCCGTCCCGGGAAACTCAAAGGTCAACGATCACCGTCTCCTCATCTGTGTCCGTAGCGGAATTGGACAACAAGTCCACCATTTCCGGTGCCGGGAGCGTACTCTGTACCCCGGAAGCTGAAAACGTCGGGGACGCGCCGGACGTCGTGGCCGTTTTCGGTACCCCGGTGGTGTGGGGAAGTGGGGGCGTATACCCCGTGGGGGGAATACCCGCTGGACGCCTCACACCACGTGCCCACTGGGACCCTTAGGGGGGATGCGAACGGTCGTCCACCACGAACGGGAAACGCCCTTGATAGACGCCGGCGAGTCGGCACTCTTCGGCCTGGGCATACAACCACGCCAACACTTTCGACACTCTCTCCCGAGAACAGTTCGCTGGATTCAAGGGGTCAAACTTCTTCAACCAAAACTCCCTGAGCGGGCGCCCCTTGAGGAAGGCTAGAGTGGCCATGAAAGGGGGATCGAAAGGCTCCGTGCGAGAAGTGGACGGGACCTCCGGCCAAAATTGCGAGCCTTGAGACGACAGGTATTCCTGCACGGCTCGAGCACCCTGGACCGAGGCCATCATCTTCAAAGAGACACCGTCGCGAAGGAAGTCCGGCCAATATGAATGGGGGTAACAAAGGAAGCGCAACAAGTAGGTCCCGTGGCGCCGAACGATGCGGTACAGCCTGTACCGCACCGTACAGGCATCCGATAATGCCCACCAATGGCCCCATGGCCGCCTCAACTTCGGCATTTACTTCGGCCGACCCCCGCATGAAACGACGGTTCCAGTGCGCGAGGGCATGATTTTCCCAGAAGTCCTAGAGTTGTTCCTGGAGCTCCGCCCACAGCGGAAATCGACGCCACGACGAATGTATAATCGACTCTTGCGCTTTGTACTGTTCCCACGGCTTCGAGGACGCCACGGCCGTATAGGTCGCATCGACGTATCGGGGTAGATTCGGGTCCGCGGATGGTAAGGGAACAGCAGCGTGAACGCGAGCGACTTTTCGTTTCCCGGGACGTCCTCCTGAGGCCGAGCGTTTCGCGGAACGTGAGGGGGATGGAGGTACGGGCGCCTTGGCTCCCGCCTGTTCCTAGGGGGGTCGAACCCTTAGCCCCCGAGCCCGGAGGGGCCTCGACAACGTCTGCCTCCAGAACTCCCGACGACGGCGTGGAAGACTCCTTCAGCGCATCCCTCATGACCGGGAGGGCCGTGTTCACCCAGGCACTGAACATCGGGCCCCGGACTCGCCCAAGCAGGGGCTCCGTCAAACCGCGCACGGCCTTGGCGGGAACGTTTGGCGGGTTATGGGGAAGGCCAGGACCATGAGAGTTGTTCGGGGTCGTTTCCTTGGAAGTTGGATCGATGATCCGTGTCATGCGCATGCTTGGTATATACACTACTTAGCTCCACGACACGGATCATCGATCCAACTCCCACGAAAATCACCCCGAACTACTCGCATGGACTACAGACAGGTCACATCCTAACCTACCAAACTTCATGGGTTGGTCTCGCGAGGTTTGATAGATGTTGGCCATGGAACTTAGGAGGCGTTCTAGATGGTCCGTGCCGGATGGCGTGGTCCGACATTAATGGTGCACAAGGTCGGGTGTAGCTCTTGGAAGGAGCCCATGACAAGTCGTATGAGCTTCATACTCACATCAAGAATCCGTTCCGTGACTCCTCAAGGGCTCCTTCCACGACCAATGTCGGGTTACGCAATTCGGCACCAAGAACATATGCCATGGTTCTTGCCCTCTGATAGCCCACCATG